TCTGAGCACTTGTTTTGTGGTATCCTATAAGGTTTGGTATGTTGTATTTACATCTCTGTTCATCTCAAATGATTTTCTAATAGCACTTGTAATTTCTGCTTTGACTCATTGTTTTTTTTTTTTTGTTGTTGTTGTTTTGTTTTTTGTTTTTTGTTTTTTTGAGACAGTGTCTCACTCTGTTGCCCAGGCTAGGGTGCCATGGCGTTGGCCTAGCTCACAGCAACCTCAAAGTCCTGGGCTCAAGTGATCCTCTGCCTCAGCCTCTTGAGTAGCTGGCACTACAGGCATGCGCCACCATGCCCAGCTAATTTTTTCTGTATGTTTTTAGTTGTCCAATTAACTTCTTTCTATTTTTTGTAGAGATGGTGTCTCGCTCTTTCTCAGGCTGGTCTCAAACTCCTGAGCTCAAATGATCCACCCGTCTCAGCCTCCCAGAGTGTTAGGATCACAGGCTTGAGCCACACACCCAGCCTGATTCATTGTTTATTTAGGAGTGTGTTTAATTTTCATATACTTCTGAACTTACCAAATTTCCTTTGTTGTTTATTTCTAGTTTTTATCAATATATAATGTCCTTCTTTGTCTCTTGTAATAACTTTTGTCTTACAGTGTGCTTTGTCTGATATTACAGGATCCTGGTTTCCTAAATAAGTGTCCTGGGCCGGGCGCGGTGGCTCACGCCTGTAATCCTAGCACTCTGGGAGGCCAAGGCGGGCGGATTGCTCGAGGTCAGGAGTTCAAAACCAGCCTGAGCAAGAGCCAGACCCCGTCTCTACTATAAATAGAAAGAAATTAATTGGCCAACTAATATATATAGAAAAAATTAGCCGGGCATGGTGGCGAATGCCTGTAGTCCCAGCTACTTGAGAGGCTGAGGCAGAACGATTGCTTGAGTCCAGGAGTTTGAGGTTGCTGTGAGCTAGGCTAATAGAGTCCTTGCTGTGGCCCGAGCAGGTCACTCAAGGGCTTTTGGGTGAGGGTCATAACAGGATCTTGCTCCAAGGGCATGCAGAGGTGAGGCGTGGAGAGCATTACACCTCAGGGAGTCTGTGGGAAGAAGATGCCCTCAAGCTGTGGCTAGAATCACAGTCCCTTCCTTGGGACTCCTGGTGGAGAAAAGGCCACAGGAGACCTGGGCTGGGAAGACCAACAGGAGTGGCCCCGACCCGACTGGGCAGGGCACAGAGGATTGAGGAAGAGAGGGTTCCTGAATCCCCAGGGAGCTGGAAACGGGCTGTGTCGGCTGAATAAGGGTCCCCCGAGGATGGCCGCGTCCCCACCTTGGAACCTGTCAACGTGCTGTGTTGTGTGACCACAGGGTCACACATCTGTGTGACCACAGATGATGCCTGCCCTGACTGCAGGGGTGTCAGCCCCACCCTCCCTGGGTTGTCCTGGTTGTCATGGGCCTGGCCAGGGAGGCCTGGCTGGTCCCTGTGGGAAATGCCAGCCTCATCCTTCAGGCTGACCTGGGAGCATCCTCTGTGTCCCCTCAATCTGGCCTCATGTCAGGTGGGTCAGGTGTGTGGGGATGGCCATTGCCTCATTGCAATGTGACACATGAGTGAGGGTCCTGACTGTGGTCTCCCAGCCCCCCCCCAGAGCAAAGCAGAATGGGATTGCTCCCAGGCCTGGGGCAGGAAGGGGACATGAGGAGGTGGAACCTCTTGTCATCTGAGAAATTGGGAGCTAGTGAGGGAGGCCCTGGGTCATGTCCAGGATCCCAGGAGCCACGTGAAGAGGCTCCCAGGGGCAAACATCTATGTCTCGCAGCCACATGGTCATCACCACTGAACTGCAGCAGCAGTGGGTCCCCCGTGTCAGATATGCCCACGCGCGAGTGCTCACCGTGGCGCTGAACCCGGCCATTCACCCTGGACGGTGGCCGACACCAGAACGTCCATTTGCAACGTGGTGAGTAAGAGGGATTGATCTGCATTTCTTCTTTTTTCCCCCAGAGCATGAAACACACTCCTGGATGGATAAACTGCAGCTGCCGGGCACTCCCACCCCAGACACTCCCACCCCGGGCACTCCCACCCCGGGCCCTCCCTCCCCGGCACTCCCACCCCGGGCACTCCCACCCCGGGCACTCCCTCCCTGGCACTCCCACCCCGGGCACTCCCTCCCCGGGCACTCCCTCCCTGGCCCCTCCCACCCCGGGCACTCCCACCCCGGGCACTCCCACCCCGGGCACTCCCTCCCCGGCCCCTCCCACCCCGGGCACTCCCACCCCAGACACTCCCACCCTGGGACCTCCCACCCCAGACACTCTCACCCCAGACACTCCTACCCTGGGCACCCCCACCCCAGTCGTGCTGTAGCCCACACAGAAAGGATGAGAACTAGAACATCAGCCCTCTGCGTTCCTGCCCAGCCGGGGACGAAGTTACTGAACATCCAACTCAGGTAATGGGCGGCTTTGCTGGAGGTGGCCGGACTTCTGGGGAAGCAGGTTTGCCAACGTCCAGCCTGAGCCCCATGAGGTCTCCGGACGGCAGAAGCACTCTGCAGGGAAAGCAGAAGCAGACGGGGCGCTGGGTTCCGGCTCGGGGCTCGGGAGGCCGAGGCTGCGTCCGGCCCTGGGGCCGGCCCGAGAGCTGCTCTCGGCTCCTGCGCTGGCAGAAAACACTAGAGCGATCTGGGAGACTCCCCCAGGTGACACCAGGCTTAAAACACATGCACCGGTTGCTGATTCAAACCTTTGCATATAACAAAGGAAAACCCGCACTATGGCATTCCTGAGGGATTTGATGAGACCCAGATTTTTTTTTTTCTGAGACAGTCTCACTTTGTTGCCCAGGCTAGAGTGAGTTCCGTGGTGTCAGCCTGGCTCACAGCAACCTCAATCTCCTGGGCTCAGCGATCCTACTGCCTCAGCCTCCCGAGTAGCTGGGACTACAGGCATGCGCCACCATGCCCGGCTAATTTTTTGTATATATATTTTTAATTGGTCAATTAATTTCTTTCTATTTTTGGTAGAGACGGGATCTCGCTCAGGCTGGTTTCGAACTCCTGACCTTGAGCAATCCGCCCGCCTCGGCCTCCCAAAGTGCTAGGATTACAGGCGTGAGCCACCGCGCCCGGCCCAGATTTTTTTTATATTAAGGAATTACTGATATTCTGGGTAGGTGTGATAACGATATTGTAGTTAGGTCTCGATTTTTCCAGGATAGTGATGGAATATTTACAGATGAATAGGTATGTTGTCAGAATCTGCTTCTGAATATCCGGCACGGGAGGAGTTACTCTGTTGTCAGTGGGTCACACAGTCTGTGAATTGCTTATTTTGGGGGCTGAGTGATGGGAACATGGGCTCATTATTATTCCTGGTTCTTTATCTTTGTGTTCAAAGTTGTCTGTAACAAAAAAAGTACAGTAGAAAGATGAGGTTCGTCTCTGGGCAGCAGCTGGGGATGGGGTGGACCCTGGCATTGCACCCAGCAGGGCCACTGAGCTGAAAGAGATTTGGGTGTCCCATCTCCCACTGGATCTGTTTCACCTCCACGAAATTGGGTCAGACAGATCCCGCAGGACACGCGGACCCCTAAGCTTCCCTCTAGCTTGGAGGCTGTGGTTTGGGGCAGAGGTGACTGGGATCGAGCTCCAGGTGGGCCTCTTGCTCTCTGCCTCACCATGGCCCAGCTCTCTGTCTTTCTAGGCTCTGTCCTGGGCCTGGCTGGCCACCCAGCAGCCTTGGTGAAGGCAGAGACAGGGTGGCCTGAGAGCCCCCGGGACACTGAGGACTGGCAAAGATGGCTGGAGCCTCCCCAGCCAGGAGGTGATGTCACCAGCTGTCGGGCCCCCTGGGGTGAGTGTGTCTGTGACATCAGGTAGCAGGTGCACATGTGGTGGGGGCAGCTGAGCCACAGGGAGGGAGGGAGGCCATGGGGTGGGGGGTGGGGGACAGGAGGGTGTGGGGTGCTGAGTCCCCGTGGACCCTGACCCTGACTTAGCTCTCAGCCCCCACTGCTCTGCCCTGCCCTGACGTGGTCTGACCTGGTCTTGACTCCAGTCTTGAATTGGACTCTGACACAGCCTCCCTGGGGCTATCACCGAATGCCCATTCTGTGCCCAGATTGGTGCCTTTTATCATTTTTCCCCTCCTTATGTAGGCTGACCGTCCCCAGGCTCCATCCACAAATGCGTCCCTGACTCTGTCCTTGAACCTAAACCCTTCTAACCTAAACTGACCACCCCCAAGTGCCTCAGCCTCATGGAGCACTGGTGTCTCATAGAGTGTTATCTGGTGCCTTAACGTGGAAAGGAGGTGAACATGATTTGGGAAATGCTGGCTTTCATCATATCAGAGTGTTTCCCTCCTGCAGGACTTGTCAGTGCCTTTACTTAGCTAATGTGCATTGTGAAAGTCTGAGAAATACACCCGAGTGTTTCGTTTTCCAAAGATTTCCCTGACTTCCACTTCATTACTGGGAAGTGGACCATGGACCCCTCACCTAGTAAACGCTCGCCTGACCGGGTCCCTCATTGTGGAGCTGAGATTGTCAACCTCTGTTCCTGCTCAGACAATGGCCTTTGCTCAAGGCTCTCTCTACCCCTGGTTTCTGCCTCCAGCCCGCAGCTGTGCTCCTGGCACCCCCTCATTTCTCCTGATTCCTCCCCCCGTCGTTCCTACTGGGCCCCTCTCCCTTCCCAGGGGGTGGGACAGCATCCCAGGGTCTGCTCTGCAGGGACAACTTCCTGTTCTGGGTCATGGTTCCCACAGGCACAGGGAACTCTCCCAGGCCCTGGTGGGTTGGGGGTGGAACAACGGGGACATGGGGTCTCACTGGGAACTTGTCTCTGCCCCTGAGCGGCGACCCTCCAGCCCAGAGACATGAGCAACACTACAGGCCGTAAGCGATGCTGGGTGATTCCGGATTCGGTGTTTATTGAGGAGAAGGAGCATAGGGAGGGTGTGAGACCCTCCTGGTCTGAGCCGGTGCCGGGCTGGTGGCTCAGGGGCACAAAGCAGACTTGGGGAAAGGGGTGTCTGAGTGAGAAAGGCCCCTCCCCTGGCCCCTGCAGCTCCAGGCCCCGAGGGCGGTGGGGCCGGGGCCTAAGCACACTCTGCAGGGGCCACTGTCTTCTCCACGGTGCTGCCTTCGTGCGTGACCTGGCAGCTGAACCTGCCGCCAGCTTTCCACTGGGCGGGGGACAGGCTCAGGTAGCTGCTGGCCGCGTACTTGCCGTTGCTCTGTTTCGAGGCCTGGGTGGTCTCCACGCCCTGGGTGACGGCGCTGCCGTCTGCCTTCCAGGCCACGCTGACGGCGCCCGGGTAGAAGTCACTCATCAGACACACCAGTGTGGCCTTGTTGGCTTGGAGCTCCTCAGAGGAGGGCGGGAACAGCGTGACCGAGGGGGCGGCCTTGGGCTGACCTGCGTGGACAGAGGAGGGGTGTTTCTCCGAGCGATAGTTGGGTGTTTTTCCTCCACCCCTTCTGTAGTCTTGGTGACTATTCACATCGTGTCCGTCTGTATACCCAGGACTCACCTTCCCTCCTGTGTCTGTCCCCTCTTCCCACTCGTGCCGCCTGGAGAGCCGGCAGCCCCGCACCCTCCTAGAAGCCATTCCCATGTCATCGCTCCAGGTGACCTGACCACCCACTTCCTGCTGCAGCCTCAGTTTCCCCATGTTCTGGCGCAGGCTGTGCTCCCTCCTCCCAGGCTCTGGGGTCTGAGTTTGGAATCTGGTCCCGACCTCCGGATCCCTCAGCCCCAGACCCAGGACCCCCAGGACTTTATTCTTCCTGTGTCCAGAGCCTCTTCTGCGATCTAGGGGGTCCCCGCCGGGCCCGCAGGACGGCCCTGGCTCCGCGTGGGGAAGCTCCGACCCTGAACCCAGTGCCTGGTGCGGCCTGGAGCCTCTTGTCCCCTCGGGCACCAGGCTCTGGCCCAGCCCGGCCCACTGGGCTCTCCTGGGGAGTGGGCTCCAGCCGGCCAGCCGCGCTCTTCTGAGGCTCCACCGCCTCCCCGTCCCCCAGCCTGACCCCAGCACCCTTCACCCTGGCTGTGTTCTCGGGGCCCCAGGACACGGCTGCCGCAGGACCCCTGGGCACCTCGGATGACTCCTGGCTTTACCGGCAGCCATGGGGCTCTCTGTGCACCATCCACCCCGTCACCTCCTGAGTCTAAGGTGCCCTTTGAGCTTCCTCAGACGGACCATGAGCAGGTGGGACTCCAGGCCCAGGGTGACGGGCTCTGGGGACAGCCGAGCCTCTGCCCCGAGGGGCCCACTCCTTTCTGCCGCCCATCCTGCGAGGGCTGGACTCTGGTCACCTCGCCCAGGCCGACCCGTCTCTCTGTGTCCCGGCTGTCCTCATGGCCCAGCAGAGGCCAGAGAGCTGCAGCCTAGACCCGGGGCGCTCTCTGCATCCTCCACTTGTCTCCCCCAGCGTGACCCCTGCACCTGTGTCCCTGGCCCCTGGTGCCTCCTCAGCCTGCACGGGCATCCAGCCCCCAGCCAGACCCTGGGGTCTCGGGGACTCTCTCCAATGCCGCCGCAGTGGCCCTCGTCCGAACTGGCCTCTGCCGCCCACTCGGGCATCTGCGCCGGGAGCGGAAGGAGCCCCTCCCTGGCCAGCCCAGCCGGCGGGACAGGGCCCCGGCAACGTTGAACCCCATGGTGGTGGCTCCTGCTGTTGGGCCCTCCCTGCTGGTTACCCCGAGACCATTCCGCCCCCCAGTCCCCCGGAGAAAGGTGAGGGTCAGCCCTGAAGGCTGGGGAGGGCAGAGGGAAGGAGCCCCGGAGGGAGAAAACAGACTTTCCAGAGACAGCAGAGGAGGGGACAGGCTGGGAAGGTTGTGAGAGCCACTTACCTAGGACGGTGAGCTGGGTCCCGCTGCCGAAGACAAACATCGACTGAGGCTCAGACCAAAACCCGCGGGGCCAGCACCTGGCGCCTGCCCCCCGGGGGCTGGGCTGGAGCAGGAACCTGCTGGGCGTGACGGGCACAGGGCGGGGCTGTGACAAGGCCCAGGGGAGGTGTGTGACCCTGGGGGTGTCCCTGTGCCTGTCCCCTGCCAGAGGCAGTTGCTGCCCTTGGCCTTGGCGTCACCCCAGCGAGTGTCCCCCTTTGAGGCTGTCAGTGCAGATGGCAACGCTAGGCACGGCAGGTGCTCAGCGAGTCCCCAGTGACGCGTCCTCTCAGGCAGCTGTGCGGTGTGGCAGAGGGCGTGCTCGGCGGCTCAGACCTGCCCGGCCTCTCCTGGCCTCATTGCAAGGGCCTCTGAGTCTTCCTCTCCCACACATCCCTGAGGTCCAGCCAGGCCCAGGCCGGCTTCCTCCCTGGACAGAGGTCACCGGGTCCCTCCTGACTCGAGGTGCCCCGGCTCTGCCTTCATTTCTAACCATCAAGACATGGTCAGTCCAAGCTAACTCATGACGCCTTCTCTGATCTCTCAAGCCATTCTTCCCATCTACTTACCCGACCATCTGCGCACCCCTTTGTCCATCTGTCTGTCCGGCTGTTTACCTGTCTGTCTGTCTATCATTCACCCATTCATCCATCTGTACATCTGTCCTGTCTGCACCCAGCCCTGTTCGCATGCTGGGGCGGGGCGGTGTCCCCTGGGCTCTCACTTCCAACCCTCCCATAAAAGTCTCAGGCCAAGGCCAAGAAAGCCCTGCGCACAGTCAAGTCCATGGTCCCTCCCCAGTTCCCGTTGTACCTGATGTCTCCTGTGGGATGCAACACGGAGCCAGCCCCTCTTTCTAGTGCCTCTTCCCCTTGGAGTCTCTCCTCCTCCCCTGGACCCCCTTCTCCCCAGCCCATGCCAGCTACTGCCCCCAGCCCCCCGCCCTGCCCCGTTCTTGCCATCTTCCTGGACTTCAGACTCTCCAGTCAGATGCCTGGCAGGAATCTCAAACAACCCACGTCCAAAGGAGCCCAAACGCCTTCCTCCGACCAGCGCTTTTTCACTGCAGTGACCACGCATGCTCCCCGATCCCCAGCCAGAAACCCGGAGCTGCTCCCGGTCAGGCCGCCTGGCCTCCCACACCAGGTCCTTAGATGCTGCATCTAAATATGCCTTTTAGGAAACATTACAACTGATGCCACAGAAATGCAAAGGATCGCCAGAGACTACTATAAACAACTATAAGCCAACAAATTGTAAAACCTATAAGACATGGATAAATTCCTGGACACGTACAACCTACCAAGATTGAACCATGAAGAACAGAAAACCCGAACAGACCAAAAACAGGTAACAAGAGAAAAGCCCAGGTGCTAATGTATTCACCGCTGAAGCTTATGAAAAATTTAAAGAAGAACGAATGCCATTTCTACTCAAACTATTCCAAAAAATTGAAGAGGAGGGGGTATATCCAAACTCATTCTGCAAGGCCAGCATTACCCTGATACCAAAACCAGACAAGAATACAACACAAAAAGAAACTACAGGCCAATATTCCTGATGACCGCAGATGCAAACATCCTCAACAAAATATTACAACAAACTGAATTCCACAACACAGTACAAAGACCATTCCCCATAATCAAGTAGGATTTATTCCAGGGATGAAAGGATGGTTCAATATATACAAATCAATAAACACAGCAGTGACATGTTTTAAAATAAATAAATAAATATTCCTTTTAAAGTTAAAAACAAGGCTCAGAATAATTAAGAAACAACAAAATCATCCTCTGAGACTCCAAAACTGCAGGAAGGCCCAGGTCTTGCCTTTGTTGATGTCAATTCCAACTCAATTCTGTACAAGGGTGCAGCCTTGAGTGGGGGCTTCCTGGGTGCAGGCATCTCTGCTCGGGGGTTGGACCAGAGTGTTTCCACCTTAGAGGCTGGTCCAGTAAGTGCTGGTTGGTTTTGTGATGCAACTGTAAGATTTTTTTTCTTACTTTCAAAAAATCTTTATTCTTTTAAAATTGTAAGAATATGACATATAACACAATTAAGTGATATAGAAGTGCACACAAAAAGTGTAATGTCTATCTCTCCATCTCTCTCCTGCCATGCAGAACCCAATTTCCTGATTTTAAATTGTGGTGAAACATACATAGCATAACATTTTCCACTTTGACCATTTCTAAGTGTATGGTTCAGTGGAATTAAATACATTCACACTGTTGTGTGACCATCTCCTTTTTCATCTTGCCAAACAGGAACTCTTGACCCATTAAGCAATAACTCTCCATATCTACTTTTGAGGTCAGGAGTTTGAGAGACCAGCCTGAGCAAGCACGAGACCCCTCTCAAAAAAAAAAAAAAAAGCACATTATAAAAGTAATTAATAATCACAGCCTATTAAGACCTATTAAAAGTAAAACCAAATGAAATCTATTTCTCAAAAACACACAATGAAAACAACTCTTAATAAACTATGAGTTGATGAGATGTTTACTTGATGGGTGATAATTAACAGAATTCTACAGCAATAATCACTCTTAACAGTGAAATACTACCTACGTTCTCATTAAAGTCTGAAAATAAGGCAGGGTATCCTTTGCATTTCTATTATTCATAATATTCTGGAGGTTCTAAGCAATACAATGAGATAAGAAAGAAAACTAGGGGTATAAATATTCTAAATAATAGTTGAAAAACTACTAAAAGAAATGAAATCAATATTTTAAAATTGGTAACTTTCTTCTCATCATCAATAACCAATTAGACTGGGAGGCCAAGGCGGGCAGATTGCTCGAGGTCAGGAGTTCGAAACCAGCCTGAGCAAGAGCGAGACCCCGTCTCTACTATAAATAGAAAGAAATTAATTGGCCAACTAATATATAGAGAAAAAATTAGCCAGGCATGGTGGTGCATGCCTGTAGTCCCAGCTACTCAGGAGGCTGAGGCAGCAGGATTGTTTGAGCCCAGGAGTTTGAGGTTGCTGTGAGCTAGGCTGACGCCATGGCACTCACTCTAGCCTGGGCAACAAAGTGAGACTCTGTCTCAAAAAAACCCCAAAAAAACAATTAGAATATGTAATGGGTGAAATCACATTCTCAGTAGACAGAATAAGGAAAACTGGAGGAATGTTGAGATGTGGCTCATAAAATTATTACTTTATTGTATCACCCAATATTGCTATATTAAAGACTGAAATGATTTCCAGAGTTTTGCAGGGCTTTGCCCTGAAGGAATATGTGAACTTGTTAATTTGCATATCAAAGGCTGCCTCGCTTGGGAGGGCATCTCAAAGGTCCAATTGGGCTGTATTCCATGAAATGCTAATATCTCAAACCTGTGATGCCTGCCTGTTTTTGAACAACAAGGCAGGTCTACATGGTGCCACAGGATGGGAGCCGAACAATGAGTGCCCAGCTGGAGAGATGAACACCTGTGGCTAAGAGCAATTAGCAAAAGAGCTGAGTTCCTGCTTACTCCTGACTGTCTGTCTCAATCCACAATAACTAGATAAAGAAATATGGAGCCACTATATCTCTATGTTACCCCTCTGTTAAATGATAGCTATCTCTTAGAACTTAGAAGTTAGTCCTTGAAAGATTTTGTAACCATTTGTTCACATACATAGAATAGATTAAGGAATTTTTAGAAGCCCTTTGAAAAAACTTTTAACTCAAGACGAACTTCCTGTTATTATGTAAATCTGTTACCCCTGGCAAGCGATAAGTGATAACTGTAGTTATAAAAACCTATGTGAAACTCCACTCCTGGCCTCACAACTGACAGGGATGTTGTGGGGACCCCTGAGTACCCTTGCTTTACCTAATTTCTTTATACAAATCTGTAAAACTATACCTTCGTCTCTGTGTATTCTTTTATCTCCATTATTCTCTTTATTTCCTATTATTTTCTTGACCCCTACCTAAGGGACCCGACATTTTGTGGGGAGAAGTAGCTAATCTCCTCCACAAACTGCCTGCAGAAAACATACAAGAATACCTTAATAAGAAATATGCAGAGAGCTGGGGGTGGACGGTGGCCCGTGAGGCTCATTGCAGACAACGCGGCGGCGATGTCTACAAGCCAGGCGAGTGCCTGGCCTGGGCTTCGGCCTCCCTCCTGTTCCCTGGAAGCGAGCGGCAGCCAGCGGGAGTCTCTCTCCTCCCCCTCAGCCTGAGCCAGGGGAGGCCAGGTGGCCCGGCGGCTGGAGGGGGGGTCCGCTGCCTGAGAATGGGAATTCTCTTCACCAGGATATGGAGACTATTCAATCACCAGGAGCACAAAGTTATCATTGTTGGGCTGGGTAATGCAGGGAAAACTACTATATTGTACCAATTTTCTATGAATGAAGTTGTGCATACATCCCCTACAATAGGAAGTAATGTAGAAGAGATAGTGATTAATAATACACGTTCCCTAATGTGGGATATTGGTGGCCAAGAATCTCTTCGTTCTTCCTGGAACACTTACTATACTAACATGGAGTTTGTAATAGTTGTTGTGGACAGTACTAGAGACTGTACTAGAGTGTACTAGACTGTACTAGTACTAGGACAGTAACTAGAGAAGAACTCTATAAAATGTTAGCACATGAGGACCTAAGGAAAGCTGGATTGCTGATTTTTGCTAATAAACAAGATGTTAAAGAATGTATGACTGTAGCAGAAATCTCCCAGTTTTTGAAGCTAACTTCTATCAAAGATCACCAGTGGCATATCCAGGCATGCTGTGCTCTTACTGGCGAAGGATTGTGCCAAGGACTTGAATGGATGATGTCACGACTTAAAAAAGATTAGATGATCTCTACTGACCTCTTCTCATAGACTTTGTATAAATGAAGTGCTGGACTTTACCTGAAAGCTGCAAAAATTAATGGTTTAGATATATTTATAATAAACTGATTTAAGCTTTTTCTATAAGAAGAAATATTAAGACCACTTATTTGAAATCAAAGATGAAGTCTCACCTTCCAATTTGCTTTCTCATTAGTTCCTTCCAAAG